CGCAGCATCTGATGATCCGACAGCAATCACATTGACACCCGCCATATTGACAGCGTCACGCAAGGAATTGAGAGGCGGTTCAACAGTCACGATAGTTGTGGGGTATTCAGGAAAAGCACGGGCCACTGACTGAGCGCCAGCTTCGTTGGTGTAAACTGATATCCCAACAATTATTTCTTGACCTGCAAAAAGCCGCAAATGTTAGAAAACTGCAAGTTTGTATTAAACTCGGGTGTATTTCGACATATTCGGCTAGAACATCGGTGCGCCAATCTGATATTTAAAAAATATTTCAAGAACAAGCTAGGCCGATACATAATGCTTGAATATAACACAGTAATAGTGGATGAAAAAAACAATCAACACATGGCTGCTGCATGTGGCTTTTTTAATAACTACTAACAGCGGCTTTTAGCACGACCGACTAACGGGGTATCTGCATTTCAGATAAGCCAAAGCGGCGCTTTCGATGGCAGTCGGTCGGTCAAAAAACTAAACCGCTTAGCAGGCTTTTCGATTATACTTTGAGGAATCAAAAATAGTGGTCAACCAGCGTGTTCATGCAGGTAGTGTGTTGTTGACAAAATAAACTGTTAGGACCAGTAGCGATAGTAACCATTATGCTGGGGGTTTGAGGTCGAGTAAAGCGACTATCCCATAAGATTTCGCAATCTTCAATGACAGCGATTATGGACAGCCATTGCAGACACCCACCTTCTAGCTACTGTCATGAGAGAAATATACCCATTTTAGGGTTCTCTTCCCATACCCATTTTAAAACCAGATTGAGGTTAACGGCACCAAGATCCTGCAAATAGGCGAGCGTTCATTAACTAATGTTCATATTGCCGATCTAAACCTGCAAGACAACGAGACCGTGGCTCGATGGTTAGAACGTTGGACTTCTGATCAACAGGTTGAGTTCGAGCCTCGGGCGGTACACCACCTGCAGTTGGGTATAACTGACTGATTGCAGTTACAGAGCCAGAAAGTGACACTTCAGTCTTCCTTGTGTTTTTCGGCAACGGTTAACAGAAAGCTTCTCTATCTTTACCGTTTATTAGTGAAACGGCATCGGCAGTTACCTGCGTCTCATGGCATACATACGAACTGATTCGCTTGGGAAAAGAAAGTGCTTTGTCGTATACTTGAATAGTAACATCCTCTTTTACAAGGATAGAAGCGCTTAAACAGCAGTAAGCATAATCGGTTTTCTAGTCAGAGATGCCGATGCTAATCTGACCAACTAGTGCAGACTGCTAAGCGACGCTGAATACTTCCCTTAAAGGTAATTCGTTGTTTGTGATCCATCCTTTTAGTTTCCTCTTATATGCTCCCCAGTATAAAATAAGAAGATAAAGGACTGCGAAAAGTGGGTGCCAAAACATTACTAAACAAGTGACATGCATATGATGGTAAATTATTATTATAAGAACGAAGTCAAAGGCAGTAGCGGTGGGGATGAGGAAAGTGGCAATAATGGTTCGCACAAAAAACGAGGGATTTTAGGTGGCTGACTTACATGACAGTCACTAAATCCATGAATGACTACCAGAGAGCGTAAAATCTGATTCAGTGGAGAAAAGTCAGCGACATATTATGACAATCATGAAGTGGAGCCCAATATTCCGTTATTCAAAGCAACCAAATTAACCTTTTGATTGAATAAAGTGAGTCATATCGATCTAATTTGAGTGCAATTGAATAGTGGAAAGGATATTGGGCAAGCTGTCCACATAATTACCAATTCATGCGCTGGGCGTTTTTACGATCAAATAAAACAGTTCCAATGGTGTTGGAAGTTGCGAAGATAGCAACTATGGTGGCGGGCAAACGCAACAATGACCGGTTACGGTTATTGGTAACTAGACTGGTCCTGGAACGCGTATACATTCCAAATGAAGCAAATTAAAAAGGCGAATCAACTGATAAATAGTTAAGTAATAGCTACATTGTCATCACCAAATACTTCTATGGGCACACAAGATACAGTCCGAAACACTACGCCCCGAAGCGTTTTGTTCTAGAACTGGTAACTACTCAGTCATCCCTGACCATCAAGGTAAAAGAATGCGGACGACGAATTGCCTACCTGTAAAAAGGACATCACTGCCCTCCAACTGTGCATGCTCGGTATTGAGCTCGACAATAGTGAGTCCCATTTCCTTCTTAAGTGTTTGTCTGATAAGGTTTACCTAAAAAAATGAACAGATCCATAAAAGGCGTACCTCGCCTTGTCTATCACCACCGTAGGGCTTGCACATAAGCGCAGTGCCATTAATTATGACGGCAACATCGGCAACTTTGTGTGCATGCGGTCGACGCTCGTCCACATCGTACTCCAGGATGTTAACATCCAACTGACGGAGCGCATCCACAAAGAGATCATGTTCTCTTTGGGCTTGTTCGAAGTCAGTGCCAAATACTTTCTTCGAAGGTTTCGTAACGACAGCCGTTGAATATCGGTATGCCATTTCTAAAGCTAGTACGACGGAAATCGGTAATTTTCACAGAGTGCAACTAAATAACCAATTATTTGTGACTGGCGCTCTTTATTTTATATTGAAGGTCGTTCGGACTGACGAACCTTGAAGGTGACAGAGAATGAGGGTATTAGACAACTGACTAGCTAGTCAGTTCCAAAGAGTAATTGCGTGTGTCAAATCCATACCCAGAAGCCTATTCATCTCAATTAACTAAAGCTAACTGAACAAAAGTGTCGGCGCTAACTCATAGGCAAACCATCAAATTTATCAGTTATCCGAAAAGTCCTTGATAGGTTTTCACACTTTCAAAGCTTTAAACGCAAGTTCCTGAATAAGAAGATTTTCGTATTTAAGAATCCGCAATCGGATTGAGAACTTCTGCAGAAAAAACCGGTCTGAAGGGAAAAATGGAAGGGTATTAGTGATATACGACAAGGCGTATAACAGCCTAAAACAGTAAAAGCTTTTTTAAAGAACACTTTAACCAATTGAACTACTCCAAGAGTAGCTAAAGAGAATGGAAGAATAGGCATATAAAAATGAAGGTGTGAAAGTTAAAGTGGTGACCAGCTTACCGGAAGATGACTCAACGTTATGCGAAAACGTCCCGAAAATTAAAGGCGCACTAACTTGTGCAAACATGATACGTATCTTATATTATAAGAACACCGTAACATACAGCATTTGTAAATGTGAGGCTTCTAAGTTGCGGAGGAAGTAAGAGCTCGATATACCACAATAATTGTTGGAACTTTCCCAAAACACATTTTTGTTACATACGGAGTACAAAGAGAACTCAGGAACTGATCTATATACTTAGGTCTACAGACGTAAAAGTGAGACCGACGATAGACTGGATAGGATTTCTGCACTAGGTCTGCGATAACTTGCTAACAAAATATGCGAACCATCGTCCATCATATTCCAAAAGTCGTTCGAGGAAGGCGAACTGCTGGCGGAATGCGAGTGGATGTTCCCCAACCTGATCTATAAGGAAAATGCACGACTTTACTCCGAAAATAACTGTCTTGCCAATATAACTTGCAGTATGTGTAAAATAATGAAGCATACTGTCAAGCAGCATTTCATGGAATATCTGGAGAGGAACGAAATATTATACGATTTTAAACATGGCTTTCGTCCAGGACGCTCTAGCCTCATGAGTACTCATTTCTCACCTGAGAAGTGGACAAAGGAAGTAAATGATGATTATCGTGTTGATGCCATATAGTGTGCCACACATACTGCTTTTAAAGGAGGCGTGCGAAGTATGAAAATAAAAAGTCATGTTTAAATTGGTTGTTTGCAAATATACCTCAGAATAGGCAAAAGGGGAAAGTGGTTTACCAAAGGCTTCGGTTTTTGGGATCACTACTTTTCCTAATCTACGTAAACCACTGCTCCAATGACTTACATCGCGAAGCCGTCATGTTTGCAGATGACATGAGACTGTGAGCTAAAGTTAGCTGCATTGACAACGGGAAAAGTTTACAACTGAATATCGAAAAACAGGTTTTCTGGTCGACCCCGTGGCTTCTGAAGTTTCATGTAGCCAAGGTTGGGCCCTACACATTGTTTCTAGTCGAAAAGTGTCACAGTAACACAAAAATATATATAACAGCGCAGTACACAAAAATGTCCTTTCATTAAGGAAAGAAAGTTTCTCCCTTGAACTTCCTATTCATATCAACAAACCGCAAAAAAATTCAACTTTAACAAGAGTGCATGTAACAAATATAGACTTTACATCAACGATATGTGTGAGCCCGTCGCAAGCTGCTGCTCTTGACAAAATGTTTATGATATGTATAACAGTTTCTCAGGAAATGAGAATGGAGTTTGCATTTAGAGGTGAACGTTCCAAGTTGAAATGGCCCTCTGCAAGCAGGCGTTCTGTAAAACATCCATAAAGGCCAGCTTCCTGTGCAGTTTAAAGCGATGATCCCACAGATGATCCGTCCGAGCCAATTGGAAGAAATCCTCAAATTCTAGGATGCATTCACGGCCTCTTACTATTCAGTATGTTTGAATGATGGCACAGCGTAGTTGCCCGTAATTGAGACGAAATCATCTGATTCTGGACCATCTTCGTAGTCCTCGCCTGCATTCACTCCAGGTACAGAAAATCCTTCTCTTATCATGGACGCCAGGCTAAGATGGCATATTCCCAGTTAGTTTTTCTGAAGAGCTCCTTGTCGATGTGGACGAATCCCAGTCTAAGCGCGAGCAGCACCCGTGCCCCGCGTTTAGCTGCCTTTAAATATTGTGACGATGGTTTAAGCGAGGATTTTATCAGAACATTGAGTTCTTCTGTTCGTCAACATATTAAAGGGGTTGCCCATCGAGGAGGTATTGGAAGGAATCACTCTTCTTGTCGGCCCCTTTAGTACGGAGCCTTTAACTCACACACTAACTTTCACACTTAACTACCAACTGACTGACCAGTTGCTACATCGACTAAGCTAGCCTTTAAATGCTCGCTATCGGCGTCAGACCTGACGGCTCTCACGAGTTTGACATCGTCAGCAAACATGCTGACCCTGTAACCTAGGTAGTGGACACAGTCGTTGATACAGACTAGGGAGAGCACAGCCCTAACATGGAGCCTTGGGGAACATCACTTAAAACAAGAGTAGAGGTTGGCTTCAAGGAACCGATGCACACAGTTTGCGATCGCCCTATGAGAAAACCTGTGATCCATTTCAGTAGGTTTCGGTTTATTCAAATCATAGGTAATTCATAAATTAGACAGTAAGGTGGGACGCTGTCAAATACCTGAAAATCAGCATAAATGAAGTCAGTCCTACCATCTTCATCCAGTGTGCGAGTTCACAGTTCGGTCGAACGCAGAGGCTGGAAAGACAAGAGGGGTTCTGACTGAAGCCCTGTTG